TGGGGGAAGCGTCCCACAAAAGCAGCTGGCACATCCCTCCTCACTGCATCTTTCCCTGCTGCATCCCCCAACACCCCAAAATCCAATTGTTTTTATTAATATTTCCTGAAATTCTTGCAAGCACAGGGGCTCCCTGTTAACTGATTGCTCGCCAGAGCCCCTGGAGTTTTTGGGGGCTGCTGTCCCCAGCTTACTGCTACATACAGGATGGTATCTGCCCCCTTGCAAGGGGGTGGTAAATAGGGCTGGGGGCTGCTCCTCCTCCACCTGCCCTCCTACCCCTTCCCAGGGCCTGATGAGCTCCTCCAGCCCACCCAAATCCAACCTGACTGCCCTTCTTCCCCCAAAACCCTGGGCTCATGGAGGAGCTGACGGGATGAAGGCAGCTTACCCTCATCTAGGGGGACCAGCGATGCTCCTCACACCCCCTGGTCCCTGCTTAGGGGGCACATCGCAACCCACATGCAGCATCTCATCCCCAATATCCCACCAAGCCAGCATCACCCTGGTTCAAAAGAAACTCCAAAAAAACCCACCAAACCACCTAAGAGCCACCAGGCAATAAACCCCCAAACCTCCACCACCTCTGCTATAGCCCCTCCCAGCTCTTTACGGTCACTCCTAAAAACCCAGCAGCTGGGGGGGCAGTCTCATTGCTCCACTTGCCAATATGACCCCCCTCTCCCCAAGCTTCACTGTCACCCCCTTCTTTAATTAGTGGGTGTCTTTGTTACACCACCAGGTAGCAAAAAGTGCTTTTTTTGGGGGGTAAGAATCACTTTTCTTGTGAAAGAAGCACTTTTCAGCAGGAGACCAGTTGCCAGCTGCCTCTGTTTGTATTCACCCTAGGAGGTCACTTTAATGATGAACCAGAAGTGCAGGCAGCTGCCAGGCCCTGCCAGCTGCCTGAAAACAGCACAGGGAAGTGAGCAGGTGGCTGTTGGCACCAGGACACACGATGGCCACTCCCCAAAGCTACTCTCATTTTATTCTTACCCCTCTAGATTTCTAAACCATTTTTTATTGGAAGCAGATTAACAAAGTGACTAATTTTCTGCTCCCTTCTCCATGCGATGGGTCCTAAAATTGAGGGTATGGATGATTCATACCACGACTTCAACAAATTTCCTAACTGGGAGTTGAAATTTCAAATGTTGACACTAAAAAAATATATTTTTTAAAATAATTAACAAATCTCAGACCTTGCAGCTTTATTTTGTTTCCTGGCACTGTCATCTCCCAGTCTCCCCAAAGCTGCTGGGCTAAAGGAAGAGGAGATGAAGAAGCATTTCTGCAAGCGCAGGAGGATGTATGTTTTGCGCGGCTCCTGCAAACCGCGATGCTGCTGGGACTTGCAAGGGTTTGGTGATGTCTCTAGACCTAAAATAATACATGGCCAGCCAAGCAAATTGGCCAGTCACCCTCCTTACAGAAGCAAGGGCTGCTGCTGATTTGCAGAGACACCCGTGTTCCCCACAGCGGCTCTCAAGCTGGGACAGCACCTTCCAGCCAAGGATTGCTAACACTTTGCATGTGCCTTTCTGCCACATTTTCCACACACAACAACAACAAAAAAATCCAGTTGGGGAAAAAACCCACTAATTTTCCACCCAACAGTAAGGCCAGCTGCAACCCAAATCCCAAAGCATCCCAAACGCCTCTCAGCTGCATCCCAAACACCTCTACTAGAGCTCCCAACAAGCACCATCTGGGAAGATTTTGAGCCAAGCATCCCACCAGCACTGAGGTTTCACCCATTTTGGGGGGTTCATTTACCTCCCTATGTCCACCCCCTGGCAGACAGCTGGATACAGGGCGAGGCAGACGGGCAAGCAGCGGCACAGGGAGAGCGTCCTGGCAAGCCTAATTAAAACTGCAAAAAGCCAGACTAGCCTTTCAGGTCAGGGTTTGGGCTGGGGGTAGGGTTATAAAGACTCACAATTAATAAATAAAGATGTATTTGTACTTGAGAGCAGGCTGTGATGAGCCCACCATCTGAAGAGGACCAAGGTGTCTATGGGGACCAGAAGCTCTGCATCCCTCTGGATGCACTCCAGGCAGATGCTGGGGTGCTCTCAGATTATGTTATTCCTACTTTGAACCTGACCCTCTCGCTTCTCCCGCCCAATGCTCGGGGGGATGCTCATCTGAGCTGCATGCACACACGCAAGTAAAGAAAACCCTGATACGTGAGTAAACAGCAAGCGGTGAGGGGAGGAGTGGCCCTGTGCTGCCATCCTGCATGCCGGAGTGCTGGCAGGCCGCCGTGACTCACTGCTCCAGATCAGCTGCTGCCGTGACACATCCAGCAGCTATTTAATGCTTCCTCAAGTCCCTCCCTGCCTGAAACACTGGGCCCAGCTCCTGGGCACCAAACGGAAGGGGTTGTACTTGCCTGCATGCTGAAACCCTCTGGTGGGACAGAAGCCTCCCCATTACTCAGGTGTGGAGAGGTGACCCAACACAGAGAAGATCCACGGGGAACTGAAGCCTCCTGACAGCACTCATCCCACAGCAGGTTGGAGGGGATGGGGTGGGGTCCAGGTTCCCCTCCAGCCCATCAACAGTGTCATCCTACCTTGGATTCCTCTTTTGGAGTGGCATCACCTGCCCTCAGCTGGAGTGTTGCAGGGATAGAGCAGCTCTGCTGGGTTTTCCATGCCATGTCCATACCAGACCAGAAGGTGACACCATGGTCAAAGGTTGAGGCTGTGGCCAAGGGTCGACGCCACTAGCAGAGATCAGCCAAGGCAAGGGTTGATGCAGTGGCACTTCCTGGGCTGGCAGGTCCCATGCAGGGTGGAGATGACCATACATGGCTCTGAACAAGCTGTCCATGGAACAGACTCTGGTGACCACCGATGTCACTGCCACCACAGCAGGGTGGACCAAGCAATGC